TATATATATATATATATATATATATATATATATATATATATATATATGTATATATTATATATATATATATATATATATATATATATAAATATATATATATATATCTATAATTCTGTACATTTGTAAATATTTGATCAATATTCCAGTACGTTTTTATCAGTAAGATAAGTGAATGTACATTTAATGGCATTTCCATATTTTCAATGTACATTTAGAGACTTTGTTTATAAAATATAGTATATTAACACACGTACAAAAATACAAAGTTCCACACTTCCACTGCTGGATTACTATCAAGATGTTTTCAACTCAACTAACCCACACGTCATCCCACCGGATACAGCACCAACACTTCCATCGAATGCAGTTATTCATTCGGAGATGGTGTTGGATACAATGCTGCGCTATTCAAACAAGGATCCTGGACCGCATGGTATCCATATCCTTCTCCTTAAGGCCGCAGTAGAATGAAAAACTGAACGCCCGACTATGGGACGTCCTGACCCTGACAGCCCACTTATTAGCATTTTGGCTAAGGCATTCTCCGCCCTCTTAATGGCTGGTACATTCCCTAAACTGTTCTCTCAACTGTTCTCTCTTGACAGCCCATCCGAAGATAGAGAACACTGTTATTGTTTGCACGATTTCCGACCGATAATCTTAACACAGATTGTTCGACGCATTTTTGAGAAGTGCTTCCTACAACTGATAACAGAACACCCCGGATCAACTACCCATGTAACTCAAGCTCAATTTAAACCACGCTACTCCTGTCATACTTATGTCTTCGCAATGGAATCATAGACACAATTCTTCAATAATACTTTAATAGAATACTATTTGTTGGAGGCATGGTGATATTCTCGTGGTGATGGGAGTATAGCACAACATCGAAGATGTCCCCAGAGATTTTGTCACCGCGTGTACACGGTGTCTCTTTTTCTAGTACTATGAATCAAATTTCAGACAAAAAATCAATCAGAAATTGAACGTACCAGAAGATTTTCTACTACATAAGGGAGTACATCACAATTGGCCTGCTGTTATGATGAACAGTTTGGTTTATTTTACTTAGATATCGGACAGAGCATACGCATTCTATTATATATGCATGTGCAAGTTTGTGAATGTGCACATGGCTGTAATCACACGGGTACATATACATACGATTACAGTAATAATAGAAAATACAGTCTTGTTTACCGCACATCTATTCCCATAAAGTACAATAAGTACCATCTCTGGCTCTCATACGTAAGTGGTTCGTGTAATTAATATACATATCTTCACAAACTAGTTGTTATTTTGATAGATGGATAACCAAAACCTTCAAGTATTAGAGAATGTGGCTGTGTTATTCTGATAGCCATGATAGGTATATAACCTGATATCAAAAGTCTGTGGTAGATAATAAACCACAAAAATTGTCAGTACGCAATGTATGTCTATAATGAACAATACACGTTCTCTTACTTTAGATTTTAAAAAAAGCATACACATTCTATTATATTGAAGATGTTCCCAGAGGTTTTTGTTACCGCGTGTTCTCCGGGTCTCCCTTTCCAATACCATGAATCAAAATTTAAATTAATAATCGATCAGAAAGTGAACGGTGAGATAGTAGAGCACGATTGACCTGCCGAGATAGTAAAATTCGAGAGAAGGAGCAACATGACACGAAGTTCTAAATTTTAATATTCCAGTTGATCATTAGCGACGTCAATATTTCGAATCTACTTTCGGGTACTGCCGCAATAGTAGTCGACTAACGCATTCCAAAGAATGAGATTTTCTTCTATACAATATGTCAGATTGCAGAGCATCATTTGGATAATATATTCGGTAAAATTTGTGGGAAATTAGCTTTTACTCAAATTTGTACCACAAGTTAAGGGCTGTCCGCCGTGACATTGTAATACGCATAGCAAAAATTCTTTCTCTGCCGACCATCAGGTTGTAGCAATGTTACTAGAGTTAAAAGTTATACCACAGCGAAAAGTTCAATAATACTTAGAATAATATTCGTTGAAGGCATGGTGATATTCTCGTGATGATCTTGTGTCCCAATGTTAATATGGCTACTAAATATTATAGAGAGACAATTTTTTTCTTTATTAGGCGCTAGCAAATGATAGTCTCTGCAAGGCTTCACTTTTCGGGATTCTGTGCAATGCCCCTATTCGGAACGCCACGTGAAGATGTTCCGCTTACCTTGAATTTTGTTGTATACTATCAGTTCAACGATGACTGGATAGATAGTACAAGTTTTTCGGGAAAGGAAACCCCTATTATGGATATATTAGTAATACGAGTGTATTATGCAAGTGTTGACCCGCTTTAAACTTTTCTGAAAATCATCAGATTGCATGGATTCTTTGTCTGTCGTTGCCCCTAGATTGGCTTGAAGCTCTCCCATGACATGCCTGAGGGTTAAGGGTTGATAGCCAGCTGATATTTGTATTAGAAATGTCTCGAATTGTAGTTCGTTGTCGTAGCTTTGTGCTGCACAGTGCATAATCGTCTAGTATAAATATTAATTATGAAGCGCCCTAGCCATCACAATTCACTAATTGGGTCGATATTGTTGCCTTCGGGTGCTACGTACTAAAAATCAGTCGCTGGAAGACGTAGTTCGTTCTAGGTATTGTTTTATTCAAGTGTACTTTGATGTCGGTTAAATGTGAAAGTCTCGTTGGCCATGAATCTATTCTGACCAATCGGAAAACCAAAACGTACCAATTAACACATACACATGAGAACAAAAGCCGCTTTCACGAAATCCTTTAAAAAATGAAGAGAAAGAGTGTAGCTACACCGTCATTTAAATATCAGTCGGCCACCACGATCAATATTGATTTATTTGACCCCAGACAACGTGAGGAGTACCTAGAAGAAGTATTTCTCTTTCTCGACAGTCGATCATCAACCTATCGACCTGAGATACCGGAACAAGTGCTAAACGATGGCATGAGCTACAGATCATCTGTGAGTCTAATGTCATATATCTACGGTTTAAGTATGATCTGAAATCGAAACAAAATAAAATATGTAGGTGGACCGCGGTTATGTTAGAAACACCGCAAAATATGCCACTTTTGTAGATAGCAATTGTGGAGCGAGCAAAAGGCTCACATATCCGATCGCTTCAAGAGAATTGACGCATAAATATCATTCTCATTTATTAAGAACAATCTTGCAAATGATTTGATTTTAATTTAAAGTTTATATATTCAAACGCACCCAAATTCTGGAATTGGACATAGATTTTCTGAAAAGCATCGGTAGACCACCTAGCTGCTACCCATGCCACCCAGATGCCAAGCGTACATCGTGATTGATTTTTATTGGACGGTACTTTTGTTCTGTTGCAAAGCACTTACATAAGGGGTCGGTTGTCCAATTTACATGAAAGGCGACAGTGGACAAAACAGTTGACGAATATGCACTAAGATGCGGGGGATGCCTGATATACTCGGGCAACTCCTGTACCAGTCCCAGACTAGCAGGCTTGCACTTTCGAGCACAAGGAAGGCCATCAATTGGTATAGACTTGAATGACACTGGCTCCCATTCTTTGATCGTATTTGAAAGACCATTCTGTCAACAGAAACATTAAAAATAGATTTCTTGTGTGGAGCAGGTAGTCGAATCTTTATTCTCATAAGTAGAAGTACCTCAAAATGGTCACGAAACTACTTCGTTCACATTGATCCCATAGATTCTGCAGTACCAAACCCCAGAAGTATGTTGTGGGACGATAGGCAGTCGGTTCCTCGAGTACGCGGACCGCTACACGTGTTCATTCTCCATACACATACAAGCAGATAAAAAATATATATCTATAAAATATAGCCATATGTGCACGCGAACATATGATCGGCGAAGCTCGTAAAGGCATGTACATGACTTCTAACATGTAATCAAGTATATACGTGGAAGAACAATTTTCCCCTCTCTTAGGAATATGAATGTTATGATGCTACTTTTGGCGTGCGGATTTTGGACAACCACAAATACTGTTCAAACAAACGTGTGATACCATACAATGAGAATTGACATATATGAGTGCGAATATCAGGGAATCACTAGCTGATCCTGTACTTCTGCGCTGTCACAACACGCATCTGTGCGTATACATAGTGCTACATTTACAAACAAAAAATACAAAAAAGGAAGAGACAGAAATAAGGATAACATGGTCACGATTATATTTGGACCCAGCATATGCCATTCAAGCAGAAGCCGGTTTTACTTAGTATTCATTCCGGAGCAAAGCGTCAGCAGGGACTGAGCAACCTCCACAAGCTGCGTCTTCCTAGCAGGGGTGATCCTCAAATTCGGGCTGTGCAAAATAACCAGGTGCGATGTTAGCGTACTATCGATTCCCGATCTTTTATATCGATAAGGAATCTCAAGCAGCATTTGTACAGAGCCTTGCTGAAAACATTCACGGAGACTTTCCTGCGTTGAAATAGCAATGTCGCGGCTATGTAACCAAAACAGTATTGATTGTGAGATACGACAACTGGTATTTGTTAATATCCCACATGTACAGTAGACGGGAGTGACCCACCTTAGCGTTCGTTTTAGCTTCTTGAGACCCTGATTCAAATGTTGCAACGCTTCATCGAGGTCCAGTAGGGCCTCATCAGTGTCTGTGGTATCGTCATCATCGTCTATGAGCATCGGTGATTTGGGAGACAAGTGCTTGTCCACACGAGCTCGCTTTGTGTTGCGGGTCTCTCGTTCCATCGATTTGCGTTGTTCTTTACTCTCGGCTACTTAGTGATGTATGCAATCGAATGGATTGGTGAGAGTGATTTCAATCATCGGTAACGAAATCTCGCATGCATCAGAATAGTGTCTCTATTTGACATTCGAGTCGACGCGGATGGCTGTATTCAACCAGGCAACTCCCCAGTTAGTATGTAGTGATCAAGGCATATACAACAAGGCAGAACACCTTTACTGCGCCTAACTTGTTGTCAAAGTTATGTTCGATGCCCTGTACCTACCTGAATTCGGAGTAGTGACGGAAGGGACATCCGAAGGACAAGCGTCGTCTTCCAAATCCGATTGTGGCGGCAGCGGCAACTGAAGAGGCTGTGGTAACAATCTAGCCTCGTGCCGCGCATTCTCTATATCCAGACATTCAACAAAGCGATCTCGAATAGTCGCAAATGTTGCTATTTTGTGTGTACGCCCTGATCGCGGGTGGGTGTGGTGAGAGGTCTGGCTGTTGGTATCAGTGGGCGTGTCTATTGTGTATATTGACTGCAATGGGGAGTTGCTGTGCGTCGCATGGGACGTCGGCGGTAAGGCGAAGGGGGTGTTGTTGATAAAGTCTACTACGTTTGAGCGCGATTCATCCGGCAGGAGCAATGGGACGAGAGTCTGCAAGAGTTTCAATATAAATAAACATCAGCTCATGAAGTACGTATACCTTGATTCTTTAGTAATGAAAAGTTTCACTACCAAAAAGAGTTAGCTCATGTTGTGTATATGCGATAATATCATATTCAACAGCCGTACCACAGTCAGGCAATCACCAAAGACTATACACACTGCTGGTGTAGTGATGCGGGCGATTTACGGCGTGCCCCTACAAAACATGCATTCCTACTTGAAAGTTACCAAGAAAGTACTGTGCCATGCCGGTAAGCATAGTGCACACAAAGTGCGTCTGCGAGGTCAGGTTTTGGTTGCAAAACAAAAAATCCCGAATCTGTTGTACTAGCTGATATACAAGGTACCGATAACTGAAGTATGGTGCCTTGAAGTATGATAGAACAACTGTCATCGCAATAAGACATAGCATAAGGGAGACATAATATCTATTAACATGTACTGTATCTTACCTCATAGTGTGTATACGACGCAAATTCTCGGAAGGCCTCCACGGCATAGTGCCATACTAGCCAGTCCGTGTCCACCAACACCCTCCGGTACAATCGCGCTATATGCGATTGGATCTTGGCCTGTCATATAAATAGTTAAGAGCACAGCAATGAACCAACCCAGAGAATGGTGCGATTCCAGATCGATTAAAGGTTCGCAGATAGCCGCCAACAGCAGCTGAGACCAGTCGAGACTGGAGTACTATTAAGCCACGGACATATATATATATA